AACTACACTTTGACGGAAAATTTAATAAAGAACAGAGGAAAATAAAAATATTGTGAAATAATCAATAAGTTTGAAAAGATAATTAATTTTTTTGGAGACAGTTCGAGATATTTTTTTAAAGTTGCCTGAGGAAATATTTTGTTTCAAAGATTTGCGGTTTAATTTAGAAATGGAAAAAGAAAATAGATTTCATTATAAGCCAAAAGACAAACGTTCACGACCTACAAAAAACTTCAAACATCCAGATATATACACGACAAATATAATGTATATTTAATAATACATATATATAAATATATATATATATATATATATATATATATATATATATATATATATATGTGTGTGTGTGTGTGTGTGTGTGTGTGTGTGTGTGTGTGTGTGTGTGGATATGTGTGTGTGTATGGATATGTGTGTGTGTGTGTGTGGTTTGTTGGCATATAAGTGTAAGTCCATGATTGTTTTATTTGTGTATATAAAAAGGGCATACATATATGTGCGTGTGTGTGCGCGCGGTTTTAAAATTTGAATGATTTTATGCACATTAGGAATTTTTCAAAAATTTGTTGCATAATATAACGGTAGTTCAACACACATATTAAAAATGAATCAATTTTCTCGAATTAAATATTTCCCAATATACGTATCTTGAATAAAACTTTTAAAATATCACTTGACTTTTAAAGAATATGGCTCTCCACTGCTTGAATTTGGCATAGAAACGAATTGTTATGAACTTTCTTATGATAATGATTTGGGCTGATTTTTCGTTGCTTTCTCCGATATATTGAATTCAGAAGTGTTTTCAATAAGATGGTTGTCTTGTCCAGGCTAGAAAACCCAACAAAAATGGATTCGTAGCTTTCTGAAGGGAGCCAATGCGAAGTGAATGTGACTGCTGTGGGTAGAATTTGAACACGTCCCTCCGAATTCATTATGTAGGATGTGAACCGTTACTCTACCCAGAAATGTCTACCTAATAAAAAATGTAAGTTATAGTATCGTCACAGTTTATATATATACTGTCATATAAACAGGAGTTCTAAATAGTTTAAATAATTAGAAAACAAAGATTAAGGGCTCGGATTGAGGAATCGAAGAGCCGAGTTCGAATTCGAGTCCAATCCATTACATTCACCTACGTGCTAATACCCTTGGGAAAGTTATGAATCCTCTTCTTTCCCCAGCTATAACAGGATAGACCGGGTTCTCTAGGCTTGAATCGCATCTGGTCTACCAGAGAAAGAAATAGGAACCTACTGGGGAAAATGAATCGGCCTCGTCAGTCATGTATCGAAAGATACATGATCGCTTGAGCGTGTATCATACATGGCACGTAACTGACTGATATATATATATATATACATATATATATATATATATATATATATATATCTTGTCCATTAAAAATAACATTTAAATTGGTATATATATATATATATATATATATATATATATATATATATATATTAGAGTAGATAAATTGATCAATAAGACAAAGTCAAACGAAAGGGTAACGATGAAATCGTTAAGAAAAAATATTTATTAATATTAATCATGTGACAAAGATGAGGCAAGGTTAATGAGCTTCCAAGTCCGGAATTTTCGAACACGCCTGTGTTCTTCTTCAGCGGATGCAAGAAATAAACAGAGGGATGGTGGAAACTATCCAACCATAGTTTTTTGAGGTGGGCAGAATCCGCTTGTAGGTGGAAGTATTAGAAAAAAATCCTTTCCCTGTTTGATTTCTCGCTGTACGAAACTTAAGATATAACATAACCACAGATTTAAAAATTGTGATTGGTGGTGTGTGGTAGGGGAGTGAAATGTTGAACATAGGAAAACAAGGGGGGCTTGTAGAGGACGGTATTAGTGTTGAAAGATTTTATGTTTTGCGAATAAGGATCGATATCGGAATATAGAGCGAATGTCACTAAAAGAGAAATGAGAAAAAGAAAAAAGAAGAAAGAGTGGAAATTAATAGCACAAAAAAGAGGCTAAGAATTCTATATATATATATATATATATATATATATATATATATATATATGTGTGTGTGTGTGTGTGTGTGTGTGTGTGTTACATATATTAAAATAATAAATAATAAAATAATAAGAAAGAACAGTAAGATTTATAATCCGGTATTCTTAGTAATTTTTGTGCTGTACAATTCCATCCAAATTATTAACAGAATCCGTAATTGATGTTATTTTTTCTGTTACATCCAAGTAATTCTGACCATACACTTATTATCAAGAACTTGGCGTAGTAGTTTTGTTGGCCATATTCTTGTATTTTCAAAAGTTAGAATTCAAATTATTACAAAGTGATATTATTTGCAACGGCTAAATGTAGGTAGACCACACCGTTAAAAAAATAAAAATAAAAAAAATGAATCTAATGTTTATATTATTCATTTAATTTTTTTTACATATATTAATAAAGGACGAGAGGAAATTAATAGCACAAAAAGAGGCTAAGAATTCTCATATATATATATATATGTGTGTGTGTGTGAAAAGTATGTTTATATAAATATAAATAAATATATATATTATATAATTATTTATATATTATATGCGCATTTTGTCTGACGATCGCTAAAGCGTGAAACCCAGGGTCACAAACTCACATCTATCCAAACAAATATATATATATATATATATATATATATATATATATATATATATATATATAATAAAATAATAACAAAGAACAATAAGATTTATAATCCGGTATTCTTAGTAATCATTTTTATTTTTAAAAAAAACAGTGCTCGATACAGACAATAGAATAAAATATTGTAATTATTTTCTTTTTTAAAAATATGATTCCATCGCGACGCATTTTTGGAACATGGAAGTTTTATGTGTCACGATGGATGCTCAGAGTTTCATGTCTAATGTGATTGTGAAAGAATATTTTAATACCCATTTTACCGGTTACGTATATAGGTCAGTTGGGGCTTTTGTGATGTGAAAATTGAAGAAATTGACACATTCCAGTTCTTTTGTTACAATCTTATTTTAGTCTACTTACAATTTTGACTTTTAATTTGCTCACACACATATATATATATATATATATATATATATATATATATATATATATATATATATATATATATATATATATATATATTGTTCAGCCATGGTAAACTTTCGTCCAGGCTCTTACAATAAATTAACATTCTCGGTAGATTTTCTTTTTATCACAGTGTGGGAATGATTATGCATTTCATGATACTGGGCTTTGTTAACGATGCCACACCCGAAAAAGCCACGAAACGGCAGATGCTGATAGTTTCAAAGTTTTGAAAGAATATTTTTGAAAGCATATTTTTTTTCAAGATGTTCAAATTCATATGCATTCTACTGCATTTACTTTTTTTTTTCACTCCATAATCGTTTTCCCTGACATGATAAACTTTAAAATTGTACAGTTAACGTTTTTCACACGTAAAACATTTAATTTTCAGATGAACACAAAATTTTGCTTTAGCACAACCATTGTTCGTCTTAAAAAACAAGACACTGATCATGTCATTGTGGTAATGTCAAAAGTTCTCGGAATAAAATGAATATGCATCAACATGGTAATTTTCTTCCTTTAATAACGATACACAATATATATATATATATATATATATATATATATATATATATATATATATATATATATATATATATATATATATATATATATAAATATGAGAAAAAATTAAAAAGAATACTTAAATGGATTGAGGAATCGGAGAGCCGAGTTCGAATTCCAGTCGAATCCATTACATTCACTTAAGTGCTTGGGGAAAGTGTGAATCCTCTTCTCCTCCCACCAGCTATGAGTAAATAGCAGGACAGACTGGGTTCTATAGCCTTGGATGGCAACTGGTCTAGGAGAAGGAGAACTCTGAATTCAAAACCTGCGGAGGTCGTTTGGGGACCTTGTGGGACTTAGTGCATCAGGTCTCTGTATTCGGTCTTTCAAAAAGTGTGGATGGTCCTGCACGAAACCTTCAACACTATAATCAAATCTCATGTGCTGTTGTTGGGCAGTCGGTTTTCTAGGAACTCGTCTGCTTTACCCTCATACGTCGAATTCAAGGAGAGAATCAGTATATATATATATATATATATATATATATATATATATATATATATATATATATATATATATATATATATATTGATTGATTGTTCTTAGGTCAACCACGAAGAATAAGCCAGACCTGCTTTTCCACATATTCGCTATTCAGTGTAAAACATTGAAAAATTTGAAAGTCAGAGGTTGAAATACTTATCACGTGTATGTATACATGGATGTATAGCGAGGGCGAGGAAGGAATTGTGAGAAATAAAATTGGCCGTAGAGGTAATGGAAAAGAAAAAAATACATTAAATAAATATCAAAAGGAAAAAGACACGGATCTTGAGTCTATGATTGAAGAGGTGGTATTCGAAAAAATACACGATACTAAACTTAGTCTCCATCCAAACTGGCATTATACACACATACACACACGCATATATATTTATGAGGAATTATATACTGTTGAAAATTCTCTTTTCAAAGACTGCTTCGTCTAGATAAATACACGAAAGTATATATAGATTTTATATGTGCATAAGTGAGTCTTTATGTTTGCACGCAACAACATCTATACTTGCATCTAAACTCATACAACATTAGATCCCCTGCATAGATATTGAATTACTTAGCTTATTTCAAACGCATGTGTAGACGAGTGTATGTCTTCGCTCGTGCTTTTCAGTGTACATGAATTTGTGCCAAGGTTTCTTAATAGAAATGCTATTAATTTCGTTCGTACAATTTAAGTAGTATGCGTACTTTTGCTGAGTTGATTTGTATGTTGTCTATTTTCATTCATTTGTGTGAGTGTTAAGGTTACGTTGTTTATATGCGTATTTAGAGCAGTTGCATATTTGTGGAATCGCGTAGTGTAAATGTAATTGTGTGTCGTTTGTCGTGTGTATACGCACAAATAATTGAGATGGGGGTAAAAAGAAAGAACAGATAGAGGGTAAATGCAAAATGAAGCTAGAAAAAGAAGGAAGTGGAATTTAATGAAAAGTTGGTAAACTAGTAAAGAGAAAATGAACGATGAACAAAGACAGAAAAAAATTTACATAAGCTGAAACGATAGGAATATATGGGATATAAAGAGACAATTAAAAGAGAAACGAAGCCCAAGAGTGAAAGAAATAAAAGCGAAACATGACCTTCAAATGGAAAAAAAATGGGAATGATTCATAGAGAGAAGGGAAAAGAAACATGTAGAGATATAGAGAGATAGATTTACAAAATGAAAAAAAAAGTAAAAAGAAAAACATTGAACAAAAAGACCGAATTCATTTTCAAACGACAGACTGTTTGACCATGTGTGTCGTGGGGTTGTTATTCAAAAAGTTTTTGCATCACAACCGGGTATAGGATCCTGCTCATAGATTTCTACTTCGCTTTATTCCCTCTCTGACCGACACCTATTAAATCATTAAATGCAGTTAGGTGAACACTGACATTTGCTTGCTGCCATACGCCGATGTAAGACGGTCGGCAAGTCTGTAAGTGGACTCCGTTACTAAGGGAGGATGTGAGAAAGAGAGAGATACACAGGGTAAAAACAATTTTATATAACTGCCAATGAGCATTGTTAGCGCTTAGCAAAGGTTTCCATCAAGTTTCCTAGTTTATTGCCGGTTGCCATCTGTGTCAGCGGCCCCGGCTCACATGACTGGACGGCAAAGTACAACGTTCATTGGAGGACGTAAAAAGCAGTATGGGAATAAATATTCTACCAGAAATTATGACACTTTTTTCTAAAATCTCTATCTAAGGTTAAAACTAATAGATGTTTGTAAAATATGATTTGCATCTGGTCGAATGCCTACGCATGACGACAAATAATTTGTTGTACTCAAGAGTCTTTTACAGATTTGCTTAATGTGTATTTGATGACAGAAAGAAGAAAACTGCTCTTGGTATATATTTAAAAAATCTTGATAAAATCCAAAGAAGATTCAGCAATATTATTGGTCCACTTCAGTCACATTTCCACCGCCTTAAATTTGCTATCCTTTGCGTTTTCTATAAATATGTTCATTGTAACTGTTCGGATGAACTCTTCACTATGTATTGGGGAGAGGTTCATTACTAACATTTTTTCTTTAGTTTCTTGTAAATAGATTTGTACTCTTACTGTAAATACTCACTGGGGCTAGTTTTTAATTTTTATTTTTTTTTATCCACCACCATCCCAGACAATGAATTGTACATATGAGGACTAGTTAGGATTTCCATAGAGACCATGAGGTATTATGGTGATTGTAGTAAGAAATGGAAGTAAGAATGTGTTGCTTTTCTGTTAGGAATATTGTTGTATGTTAGGGTGAGGGTTTGCGGGCGAGCTAAGTTTAATATTAAGATTGAAGAAGACCGACCTCTTTCCCAATTTTTGGCCTTGTGCCACATTTTCTATATTGAAGCGGAAATAAATATCGCTCTTAACTGCCTAGACTTTTAGAACTTAAGCATAGTATTAGACTGGATATCTCATCCATTGACAGTTGAAATGGCTAAATGTAACCGTAAGTTCTATACGAACAGTTTCTTTTATCACGACTCCTCGCTTGAGGAACTCACTTCCGGCTCCATACTTTCCAGGAAACATTAATCTACAAAAATTTAAATGCAGTGTCAATTGCTATCTACTGTCTTTCTGATTATGGTTTTCTCTTTCCACTGATTATTAACGCTTCTGTCCCTAACTCCTCCACCTCATGTAACCTTTTGTGTTTTGGTGTCTTTACTAACTTGCATGAGGGTGATAACGATTTAAAAAAAAAAAAAAGGTAGCAACAAATAAAGATGACACCAACATCTGAAACCATATTAGAATATGCCTTCATAAAGCTAAACAAAGTATCAAGAAACATAAAGATTTAGTTAGAAACAAAGAAAAGTGATGAACAGTTATATATTATCAGACCTTATAATACAGTGAATGTTGGATAATTCCCACACAGAAGAAGAAAACAGTAAGTGCTTTTGTGGATGGATTCTGAGAATTCCATAATTGGAACATCTGAGCAAGGAGAATATTTTTAAAAAATGGATAGAAAAAAGACACTAGAATCAGAAATCGACAGTTGAAACGTAAGAGATACATAATAAGAAAAGAAGGTATGACGATTTTAACAGTGACAGACGTAATGATGACTAATCAAAGCAATGAAAGCCGCGACTAAATTATCCAAAGTTTGGGTCACTACATACCAGAATGGGAGGGATAATAAAAGGAGGAATATTGTTTACAAACACAAAATATACAAAATTGTGAATAGACACGATCACCCACGTCCTTTATGGACAAGCCAGATAAAAGAAGAAAAAAAAGATTAGATAAAATAGCAACCGCTTTATTTCTTACTCTGCATAAATATTAATTTTCACGAAAATAAGTAAGGTTATCGGCCCGACCCAAATTCTAGAATTAATATTTCAATGGCTAAATATTAGAATTTATAAAACATTTAAGAAACATTTGAAGACGGTATGATAATGGAATGAATACGTAGATTAAAAGATAGACTACGAAGAATAGACTATAGCATATACTAAAGATAACTTATATATATATATATATATATATATATATATATATATATATATATATATATATATATATATATATATATATATATATATATATATATATATATATATATATATATATATATATATATATATATATATATATATATATATATATGTAAATATATATAGTTGATTTTATATATATATATATATATATATATATATATATATATATATATATATATATATATATATATATATATATATATATATACATACACTACACATTTCGAAAATCAACTATTTTGCTCTGGTGATGCCCTTTCAAAGGATAAATGTGTTAAGTATATATTTTAATATTTTGCTTGTCTTCCTATTAGCCAATATTGTATCATATTCACTCATATATGAAGCGAAAAATATAGTCCACAAGTTAGCTAGCTAGCTAGAAGTGGGTAATGAGTATACCAAACTACCAGATCTCTGTTCACATATATATATATATATATGTATGTGTGTGTGTGTGTGTGTGTGTGTGCATGTGCATTTTTATGCGAGGAAATTTGCTTGACGAAGTGTGCTCAGCAACTGAGAAAATATATTGCAATCTATCTATCCATCTATTTATCTATCTATCTATTTATTAGGGGTGCTAATTTATATGTGACGCTTTCTATCTGTTCAGCTTGACATATTGTGAACCCAAGTTTAGTTTTTAAAAATGCTTTATTGGCTATTTCTATAATTCCTACATTACTTCCAACAGCGTCACGTGCTGTGATCGCCTCACGAGGCGGATAAATCTAATCCGAAACAGAAAGCTCTAACCATTCGATAAGGGCGCTCATTTGCAGTGAGATAGATAGATAGATAGATAGATAGATAGATAGATAGATAGATATGAACAGAGATATATAGATAGAGAGAGAGAGAAATAGATAGATATGAAGAGAGATAGATAGATAGGTAGATAGGTAGATAGATAGATATGAATAGAGATAGATAGATAGATAGATAGATAGATAGATTTTCTTTGTTAATATTGTTTATTTATCAAGATTGCTAAATATATGGAATGAATTTTTGTCTAATTAGCGCTGAATTCCTGAAATTTTCATTCAACATGGTGTTGCTTTATATGTTCACTCTTTCCTATCTATCTATCTATCTATCTATCTATCTATATATCTATCTATATATCTATCTATCATCTTTCTCTCTCTCTCTCTCTATATATATATATATATATATATATATATATATATATATATATATATATATGGATAGATAAATTGATACATAGATATAAGTGCTAACGTAAATTAAATAACGCGTTATTAACAATTACATATGCGTGTGATAACGTACATATCCAAATGAGCAAATAAATATTAATTTAATATGAGCTGCAAGCAAAACTGTGCCCAGTGTAGTTAAACAGCGCTAAAGTATATATTAATAAATACACACATACCTACGATTATAATTGACCTAAGCTTTTCATGCTTACGCAGTTCATAAGGAACGAATGGTAAATGAATAAATGCTAAGTTAATTTACCATTTGTGCCTGATGAATTGGGAAACCATGGAACTCTAAGATGCACTAAAAATGCAGGTATATATATATATATATATATATACACTTAGTAGAAATCTTATGAGTATATGAAACTATACTCGCTCGGAAAAACTTCGTTATATTGATTTGCAAATAAACAAGCCAATACCAAAGGGAAAAATGGTACAAAAAAGAAAGAACCAAGAACATGTACGTTAACCGACAATAATAGTCCAGCTTACGAGTTGAAGGTTCAAAAAAAAAACCCGATGCGAGTATCCAAAACAACTAAATAAAGTGCCTAATACAATGAGTAGAGCAGTCCTAGATTTAGCTATATATATATATATATATATATATATATATATATATATATATATATATATATATATATATATATATATATATGAGTGATGCGTAATGCTAACTTATTATATATTCCGGTCTCTTATTTTACCTTGTTAGCCAGCCTTCTCTGACGATCCGCTTATGAAACCTTGATAGGTTTGTCCGGCTCTCTAGGTTTATCTATCTATCTATATATATATATATATATATATATATATATATATATATATATATATATATATATATATAAATCGACTCTCCTGTCGCGTTCGACGTATGCGGGTCAGGCCGATAAGTCCCCAGGAAACCGACATCCCGACACCGGCACATGAGATTTGTTTATAGTGGTGAAGGCCTTTGCAGGACCAGCCACACTTTTGAAGGGACGAATACAGAAACCTGGTGCACTGAATGCATGCCACAAGGTTCCCAAACGACCCTCCGCAGGTTTTGAATTCAGAGTTGTCCTTCTCCTAGACCAGTTGCCATCCAAGGCTATAGAACCCAGTCTGTCCTGCTATTTTACCCATAGCTGGAGGGAGATGAAGAGGATACATACCTTTCCCAAGGAGGCACGGTGGAGCAGTGGATAGCGGCTTGGATTGAGGAATCGCAGAGCCGAGTTCGAATTCCAGTCGAATCCACTGCATTCACTTACGTGCTAATACCTTGGAAAGATATATATATATATATATATATATATATATATATATATATATATATATATATATATATATAAAAGAAAGAAAGAAAAGTAAGATATATAATCCGGTGTTCTTATAGATATTTTTATTTTTCCAAACTAGGGCTCAATGTAAATTTAAAGAGCATTAATATTATAAATTAATTGATTTAAAATATGTTTTTTTTCGCTACACATTTCTAACCATGTTTCAAAAATAGAAGCTGAAAGCTTCGAATTTAATTTTGTAATTAAATTAAAGACATTAGTTCCATTTCATTCTCAAGCGAATTTTGGAGTAACTTTTAAAATTACTGGGTAACTTTTAAAATTACTGGGTTACTTTTAAAATTACTCGGTTTTAAAATACAGAATACAGAGACCTGGTGCACTACCTTCTTCTACTCTCACGTCGAATGCAACGTATGAGCTTCAAGCAGATCAGTTCCCAGGAAACTGACAGCCATTCAACATCCCATGAGATTTGATTATATTGGCGAAGGCTTCATACAGAACCATCCACACTTTTTGCAGGGCCGAATACAGAGACTTGGTGCACTACGTGCCACATGGACCCCAAACGACCATCCGCAGATTTTGAATTCAGAGTTGTCCTTCTCCTAGACCAGTTGTCATCCAAACTACCTAGCCTTAGCCTGGCTCCTTAGGATTATCTTAGGTTTTTCTCTACTTAGTGTATTGAGCACGTTAGGTTGTTGTCTTTTTACTCGTTTTGGGTGGTTATTTTTCTTTGGACTTGGAGCTTAAACAATAGACGATTGTTTTCGCCTTGTTTTAATGTTCTTGGTTCTTTCTTTTTTATTCCCCATTTTTCCTCGGGTACCGATTTGTTCTACTGCAAATCTAGCTATCCGAGGTTTTTCCAAGCGTGGACCACCATTTATATATATATATATATATATATATATATATATATATATATATATATATATATATACGAGTTGTGACAATATCATTTCAACAATATAAGTTTTCGTTACGTGGCCACTATCGACTGCTGTCACCGACATAAATTTTTCCATTTATACTTGCGGAACAATATTACCGCTGCTTGGAAGCATTTTTGGAATTCTTTTTCATAATACCTTTTAATAATATAATTAGGCTCTTCTGGAAAATATGCCATTTTCAATTTTAGCTAAAAGCATTAGGTGTTAAGGCAGATAAACAAGGCTCGTGGGCATTTTTGCTAATGCGCATCTGTTAATATCTCTTTATATATTCACTTATCAATCCCACATCTTCGATCTACGCTCAATGTCCATATTTTTATCACTGATTATTCTCACCCTTCCTTGAACCGTCTGTTCTACTCAAAAGCGATCGATCTCTTCACTTTCGGCATAATCCATTTTTAATAGGCTGACGTTTCACTGTTATTCTCTACAAACTTAGCACAAAAATTGATGTTATTCCTCTACTCTATTTTCCTTGCAATCATATTCACACAAGCTTTATAGCATGAACACGTAGAACTTCCTCTACCGCTCCGCAAGCATGGACTCTAGAAACAGAAATTTAGAACATTTTTCGACTGGCTGAAGAAATATTTGACTTACTTATTAAACAATACACTATATATATATATATATATATATATATATATATATATATATATATATATATATATATATATATGTGTGTGTGTGTGTGTAAAGTGTAAATATAATCTTAAGGTGTGCTATATTTATGAGATAAAGTGCTCAATATCAGAGATAGAACCTGTGGAAATATAAAAGTGATTGCGTCTAGCATGAACAGCCTGCCGCCTCTAAGTGTTGACTTCAATGTTCACTTTAATATATATATATATATATATATATATATATATTATTATTATTATTATTATTATTATTATTATTTATTAAAGAATATGAAACACTTAAAAGCCCATAGTTTTTAAATTTTTATCACGTGAGAGCTCTAAAAAAAAGGCATCTGTCTCTTGAAATAAAGATTATTACCTATGGGATTTTAACTGTTTCATATTCTTTAAATAATAATTTTTTTTCTGTCTTTTGATATCGTGCTCTCCCTGGATGTCTATCCACCTGGAAATTCCATACGGATTACCATATTGTATATATATATATATATATATATATATATATATATATATATATATATATATATATATATATATATATATATGAAGATAGAGAGTGAGAAGTATATATAGATAGAGGGGTAATTAGTGTTCATCAGAGATTCCGTCAAGTATAATTTTTTTTAATCTCCGCCAAATTCTGTTTTCGTGTTGTTATATGTTGTTATCTTAAACCTCTTTTAAATATATTCTCATGTACTATTAGTTTTCTGCGAGCAACATCTTTATCTACATCTGTTATGCAGTAAATTGTCTTACGATCTGAGAACCTTATTTGCCATTTACATTCATGGATCAGGATAAAGGCGTAATTTATAGGTAGATATCATTAAGTTAAAAACAACTAAAAGTTATTCTTATAAGTTGTTTGATTCGGTATTTTGAGAACAATATTTTTGTTTTCACTTGGCCATACTTATAATAGCTAAAACTTTGGGGCACATTTAAATTTTAATAAGTAAAAATTACTTATGAATTTTGAAAACAGTAAATTTTGTTTTAGCATTCCCAGAGAAGCTTAACGGTAAAGTTTTCTTTTATAAAGTTCTCGGAAGAATGTGCTAATTGTTTTTAGAAAAGCCGATAATGATTGATTAAAATCACTTGAGGAAGGCAAAATAGAAAGTATTATCCACTGCTTAAAGATTAAGGAATTTGGCATACATTTTAAAATATCAACTAACAAAGTTGTTTCTTAGATATGAAAGCCATGTGCGTGGTTTTCTTTTTTTTAATATAACATAATTCATAAATTACGCTTCTTTTAACCTTGGGGCGCATCTGGCTACCTTTCAAGGGGCAGTGAGGCGACAGATTATACCGGTTGGGAAACGCTGGTGTAGAATGAGGAAATATGAAGTCAATATCTTTGAAAAAGGCAACGGAAAACTACTTAAGTGTTATTTCTTTTTTACTAAAAGCTCATAGAAATTCATATATATTAATAAAGAAATAGAATATATTGGTTGTCACGATCGGCTACAGCTTATAAGATGCACCGGTAGTTCAATGCCTCGCGGTGTGGAAGAGGAATTAAATAACCCAGTACGCGTCCTCTCCGCCACTTTTGCTTTAACTTCGCATTAATACCTTTGGCAAAAAGATGATTATCGACAGGAATTACAGTTAATGAAAGCAAAGACAGAAACACACACACTTTAGCAGCATTATGAGAATATATATATGATTATTGTCGCTATTAATTCTTTATTAATATATCAGTGTTTTTGTTTTTTTCTAAATCTTCTCAGTACCATGTTATTATGATGTTGTATGATAACATAACACCCCTCTAAACATTACATCCCAAATCCTTACCAGAAAACCCAAACACCTTCGAACCTCAAATACCGCGTTCAATTGGCTCAATACTTTTCAGCTCCTTTCTTTCTTAACCCCGTCCAATCTCATAAACCTCGATTTGATTTCAGTGGATGAAACAACATTAAATTCCGATCAGTGTCTTGAGCTTATCATTAAAGGTGAGTCTGTTATGCCCCCACCCCCCACTGCAAATATTATATCACCTGAATTCTTATCAATTTCTTTGTAATTTCTTTTTATTTTTATTTGATCTTTACAGAGAAAAATAATTTTCAACAATTATAGTTGTTTATATATATATATATATATGTATATATATATATATATATATATATATATATATATATATATATATATATATATATATAAATATGCAAATATATGGATATAGATAGATATGAAGAAAATATACGGAAAAAAAAACAAAAACCTTATATGCAATTATGCTGTTTTAATATTATGAATAGAATATGTCCTGAAAATGGTTTATTAGACCGAAACGTCCGACGTTGACATTATATT